CTGGATGTGAGTGCAACGCCAACGACCGCCGTCTCTGGATGTGAGTGCAACGCCAACGACCGCCGTCTCTGGATGTGAGTGCAACGCCAACGACCGCCTTCTCTGGATGTGAGTGCAACGCCAATGACCGCCGTCTCTGGATGTGAGTGCAACGCCAACGACCGCCGTCTCTGGATGTGAGTGCAATGCCAACGACCGCCTTCTCTGGATGTGAGTGCAACGCCAACGACCGCCGTCTCTGGATGTGAGTGCAACGCCAACGACCGCCGTCTCTGGATGTGAGTGCAACGCCAACGACCGCCGTCTCTGGATGTGAGTGCAACTCCAACGACCGCCGTCTCTGGATGTGAGTGCAACGCCAACGACCGCCGTCTCTGGATGTGAGTGCAACGCCAACGACCGCCGTCTCTGGATGTGAGTGCAACGCCAACGACCGTCGTCTCTGGATGTGAGTGCAACGCCAACGACCGCCTTCTCTGGATGTGAGTGCAACGCCAACGACCGCCGTCTCTGGATGTGAGTGCAACGCCAACGACCGCCGTCTCTGGATGTGAGTGCAACGCCAACGACCGCCGTCTCTGGATGTGAGTGCAACGCCAACGACCGCCTTCTCTGGATGTGAGTGCAACGCCAACGACCGCCGTCTCTGGATGTGAGTGCAATGCCAACGACCGCCTTCTCTGGATGTGAGTGCTACGCCAACGACCCCCGTCTCTGGATGTGAGTGCAACGCCAACGACCGTCTTCTCTGGATGTGGGTGCAACGCCAACGACCGCCGTCTCTGGATGTGAGTGCAACGCCAACGACCGCCTTCTCTGGATGTGAGTGCAACGCCAACGACCGCCTTCTCTGTATGTGAGTGCAACGCCAACGACCGCCTTCTCTGGATGTGTGTGCAACGCCAACGACTGCCTTCTCTGCATGTGAGTGCAACGCTAACGACCGCCTTCTCTGGATGTGTGTGCAACGCCAACGACTGCCTTCTCTGCATGTGAGTGCAACGCCAACGACTGGCTTCTCTGGATGTGAGTGCAACGCCAACGACCGCCTTCTCTGGATGTGAGCGCAACGCCAACGACCGGCCTCTCTTGCTTCGATGTAAGTTTGCATTTCGCTTTTGCTTTGCTTCGACCGTCTAACGGTGTTTGCCTTTCCATAGTGTTATCAAACAGCAAGACACAATTGGAGCTGAGGGGAGCGCGGTGCAGTGCAGTGCAGCGCCATTAGCAACGCCTGCTTTTAGAGGGGAGTATGGGGTTGGGGGGAGCATCGTTTTTCGTTTCTGGTTTTCTTGTTTCTTTCTCTTGTCGCAAGTTTTGCTTTCCTTTGCATTGTGTTCTCACACTTGCCCCTTCTCCAGAAACTTATCTCTCCTCTCTAGCTTCCTCCTCCTGCATTCCCGTGTTGTGACAGGACGCGGCATGGCGGATTGGGAGAGCTGGGGAGGACAGCAGCAGCACGGGAGGCGCGGCAGCGTGTTCGGGAGGGGGGATGGAGAGCGGTTGAAGTGCGGAGGAGGATGAAGCGCCGTCCGCCACCAGCAACGGCTTCTTTCAGAAGGGAGTACGGGGTTGGGGGGAGCAACTTGGTTCGTTTCTTGTTTTCTTGTTTCTTTCTCTTGTCGCAAGTCTTGCTTTCTGTTTTCATTGTGTTTCACACTTGCCCCTTCTCCAGAAACTTATCTCTCCTCTCTAGCTTCCTCCTCCTGCATTTCCGTGTTGCTACAGGACGCGGCATGGCGGATTGGGAGAGCTGGGGAGGACAGCAGCAGCATGGGAGGTGCGGCAGCGTGTTCGGGAGGGGGAATGGAGGGCGGTTGAAGCGCGGAGGAGGATGGAGCGCCGTCCGCCACCAGCAATGGCTTCTTTCAGAAGGGAGTGCGGGGTTGGGGGGAGCAACTTTGTTCGCTTCTTGTTTTCTTGTTTCTTTCTCTTGTCGCAAGTCTTGCTTTCTGTTTTCATTGTGTTTTCGTACTTGCCCCTTCTCCAGAAACTTATCTCTCCTCTCTAGCTTCTTCCTCCTGCATTCCCGTGTTGCTACAGGACGCGGCCTGGCGGATTGGGAGAGCTGGAGAGGACAACAGCAGCACGGGAGGCGCGGCAGCGTGTTCGGGAGGGGGGATAAAGGGCGTTTGGAGCACGGAAGAGGATGGAGCGCCGTCTGCTACCAGCAACGGCTTCTTTCATAAGGGAATACGGGGTTGGGGGGAGCGTCTTTGTTTTTTCCTTGTTTTCTTGTTATTTTTTCCTTGTCGCAAGTTTCGCTTCTGTTTTGTTTTGTTCTGCATTCGCTTTTCACTCGTGCTTCATCAGCAACTTATTTGTCCTCTTTAGTCTCCTCCCGCATTCCTCTGCAAGGTGCATCTTGGCTACAAAGGACCTGGCGAGGACTGTACAGCAGTGGAGGAGCGGCGAGAGCGCATGGAGCAGCATGGTGGCAGCACCACTGCCAGCACCGGGAGTGACAACACCGGCAGCACCATCATGGGAGTGACAACAGCAGCACGAGGAGGGACAACAGCAGCACGAGGAGTGACAACACCTGCATGCGAGTAACAACACCTGCATGCGAGTGACAACAGCAGCACGGGGAGTGACAACAGCAGCACCAACATCAGAACCGGCAGCAACAGGCTAAGGTGGTCTGTTCGTGCGCCCGTGCCCTGTCGAACCTGTGCCGTCCGTCCGTAACCTGTTCGTGCGCCCGTGCCCTGTCGAACCTGTGCCGACCGTCCGTAACCTGTTCGTGCGCCCGTGCCCTGTCGAACCTGTGCCGACCGTCCGTAACCTGTTCGTGCGCCCGTGCCCTGTCGAACCTGTGCTGTCCGTGGTTGCATGTTCCTTGTATTGCTCCCGCGTCCCTCCCTCCCACAGGTGCATCGTTTGCCTTTACTCCTGCCCCCCTGGGCAGGAGCTTTGTTTGCCTCACTGTTTGTTTCCTCTCCTCTCTTCTCAGCCCCACCCCCCCCCTCTCAGCCCTCCCAAGCAGGTGTCCCAAACGATGGCCTCCACCTCAGCGCGGTGTTTGGGTGTAACGTCAGGGGCGCAAGCCTCTGGCGGCCAAGAGGGGCCCTACCAAGCAAGCAAGGAAGTCCTCTCCAACTCCCAAGTGCAGTGACAGTGTAGAATATTGTAACAATTTTGTGCTGCAATGGTAGCGGCAGTACAGGAATTCATAACATTATAATGCTGCAGTAGTAGTAGCAGCACTGGATTTTGCAACAATACAGGGCTGCAGTAGTGAAGGCAGTTTAGGATTCTACAAACAACACAGTTGCAGTAGTAGATGCAGTACAGGGTTACAGTACTGCAGTAGTAGAGGCAGTACAGGATTACAGTACTGCAGTAATAGAGGCAGTACAGGAGTCTACAGACAATACTGCAGTAGTATAGGCAGTACAGGAGTCTACAGACAATACTGCAGTAGTATAGGCAGTAAATACAGGAGTCTACAGACAATAATGCAGTAGTCTAGGCAGTACAGGAGTCTACAGACAATACTGCAGTAGTATAGGCAGTACAGGAGTCTACAGACAATACTGCAGTAGTATAGGCAGTACAGGAATCTACAGACAATACTGCAGTAGTATAGGCAGTACAGGAGTCTACAGACAATACTGCAGTAGTATAGGCAGTACAGGAGTCTACAGACAATACAGATCTGCACAAGAGGCAGTACAGGGAATTGAGTGCTGTACTGTGCTGGCAGTACATGATTCAGGTAGGAAGATGCACATACACAGATCTGTAGACAACCAGTTTGAGGTTGATACACTCATTGATCAAACAGTACTGATACATTTGGAGCACTTTGGAGAGCGGACGCAGATGAATCAGATACTAGAACAGCATCAGTGCCTATGCAATGGTAGATGCAATGAAGACAAGTGCTGCAAGCAACAATGTGCTATTGAGTATGGGTTGCCAGGGTCTTCCAATTGCTAAGAGCAAAGGTGCTACTCGTGTAAAGAAAGGAACCCATGCCATTATGCAACCAGTTCTGCTGCTTGTATAAGCGCATCGTGCAGCGAATGGAGCAGCATGGCGACAGCACCAGCACTGGCACCGGCACTGCTGCTTGTGTATCAGCACTTGAACTAGACCAACCACCCTGACTTGTGCCATGGTGCAGGGCATCTAGCTCTCAGCCTCGAATATGGGCTGTGCCGGGTTCAGTGCCTTCTGCTGCTTAGGAAAGAGGCATGTAGGGACAGTGGGAGGCAGACAAGGGGGAAATGGGCGAGGCACGGAGGGGCCAGAGAGGATTGAAGTCAGTGCAGGGACGAGAGGTGTGAGGAGGAAGGACAGAGCATGCATGTAAGCAATAAAATACAATAAAATACATGTAATCAATAAAATACATGTAATAAATAAAATACACATGATGCACAAGTGTGGTGCAGTGTTCAGTGCCCTCTGGTGCACGTGTGTGTGTGTGGGTGTGGGCGTGTGTACGAGAGAAGCCAACCACCCACAGTCACAACGCCCTCAACCAGCAAGCCACCCACACGCACACTCGCACTCGATCACCAAACCACCCACACTCACATTCTCACTCGATCACCAAGCCAACCACACTCTCACTCAATCATTGAACCACACACCCACACTCGCGCTCGACCATCAAACCACTCACACTCACACCTGCACTCAGTTACCAAGCTAACCACACTCACCACATAGTAAGCGATGACGATGGCAAGCACAACAACAAGCACCCCAGCCATCCCCCACAGAGCACTGCCGCTGAGCCACCAGCGCATGCCGCCGGCGCCGCTCCTTGTTCCGCAGTCAACCAACACCCACACTCACCACATAATAAGCGACGACGATTGCAAGGACAATGGCAAGCACCCCAGCCAACCCCCACAGAGCACTGCTGCTCAACCACAGGTCCTTCTTCCTCAGTGCCACCAGCGCCTGCCCCCTGCGCTGCTCCCTGTGACTTTCGACAAAAACCACCCGCACTCACAACCAACCAACCCACAATCACCACCAACTCAATCAGCATTCCCCGCACCACTCACCACATAGTAAGCGATGACAATAGCAAGCACAACAGCGAGGATGCCTGCCAACCCCCACAGAGCACTGCCACTCAGCAACCCGCTCTTCTTCTTCCGCAGTGCCACCAGCGCCTGCCGCCGGCGCTGCTCCCTCCTCGACAGCCCCGCCTCCGCCTCTCCGCCCTTGCCCGCATCGCCCTTGCTGTTAGCAGCGGCGCCAGTCTCCTCGGCAGCAGAGGCATCGTCGCCTGTGGTGGCGTCCTCTGGAGCTTCGCCCTCTGCCGGCGCCTCTGCTGCCCCTTCCACGTATGGCACCCCTGCTGCTGCTGCCTTCTTGCGTGCCCTCTTCTCCCGCTCCTGCAGGGGGAAGGGAGGGCAGGAGGGAAAGAGGGGGAGGGGGGATGGGGAAGGTGGAGAAGATGGGAGGCAGTAGAGAGTTTAGTAGAGTTTAGCAGCGGCGCTGGTCTCATCTGCAGCAGAGGCATCGTCGCCTGTGGTGGTGTCTTCAGGGCCCTCGCCCTCTGCTGGCGCCTCTGCTGCCCCTTCCACGTATGGCACCCCTGCTGCTGCTGCCTTCTTGCGCGCTCGCTTCTCCCGCTCCTGCAGGGCGATGGAAGGGCAGATTGGGAATACAGGAGGGAAAGGGGAGGGGGAGGAAAGAGAGGGGAGGGGACAAGTGGAGAATGTGGGAGGCCGAAGGGGGGGAGAATAAAAAGGGGAGGGACAAGGAGAGAGAGGAGTGAGAATTGATGAGAGCATGTGGTACGTGGTGGTCAGATGTGCCAATAAGGAACCCATGCCTGAGTGATATGTCTCGATGGGCAATACGGCAACAGCGAATTCCAGGCCACCAGATGACGACGGTGCTAAACGCTTTTCTCCTTTCCACTCAAGCACCCAGGTTAACCACCCAACGCATACTGCCAGAAGCACTGTGCCGATTGCCTCTCTGCTTGCCCAGCCACCTACCCACCCACCCATGCAACCATCCCCTCACCCATACTCTCACCCACCCACTCACCCACCCACACAACCTCCCACTCATCCATCCATGCAACCCTGAACCAGCCCACTCAACCACCCACCAACCCACGCACCTTCTCGCGCCTCTTAGCGAGAGCCTCAGCCTCCTTGGCAGCGCGCGCCTCCGCCCGCTTCTGAGCCTTCTCCGCCAGCTTCGCCTTGCGCGCCTCTGCCTCCTTGGCCTTCCTTATCGCCTCCTCCCTCCGCCTCTCCCTCTCCGCCTCCTCATCCACCTCCTCTACCTTTGTTTCCGGTACCTTCATCACTACTCCGTTCTCCTTACCCGCCTTCCCTTCCCCCTTCCCTTTCCCCACGTCCACCTCCTCATCCCCCCAGCCCCCCGCTGCTGCTACTGCTGCGGCTCCTCGCGAGCCCTTCCCTGCCCCCTCCGCCGTCTCCCCCTTCCCCTTCCCCCCTGCGCCCTTATCCCCCCCAGCCGCCTTCCCCGTTTCCTTCTCCCCAGCCCCCTTCCCCTTCTTCTCCGCCCCGCTCCCCGCCCTTGCCTCCCCAGCACCCGCCGCGGAAGCTGCCGGCGCCGAGGCTGGCGCGTAGGTTCGGGAGGGCACGTCGAGCAAGTTCGCGGGGTCCTCGTCCACACCGAGCCTGCGCGTGTCGAGTGAGCGGAAGCGGCGGATGGTGCTGTAGCGATTCGCCTCCACGTACGCCGCTCGGTACGCCGCGTCCGTGTTCAGACGGAGATGCGTGCGCTCCCTCTGAGCAAGGCGGCGACAGTAGGAGGGAAGAAGGTGGGGGGGAGGGGGGTGGGAGAGAAAGAACCTGAGGGCGGGCACATACGGATAAGGAGGGAGCGTAAGCCGCGGATGGTGCTGTAGCGATTTGCCTCCACGTATGCGGCTCGGTATGCCGCGACCGTGTTGAGACGGAGATGCGTGCGCTCCCTCTGAGCAAGGGAGACAGTGGGATATAAAATCGGAGGGCGGGTACGTAAAAGTACGGTGGGAGGGAGGGTGGTTGTGATGCATAATTCGATTCGATTCCATTCCATTCCGTTGCTTCCATTGGCATGCCTGCTGCTCGCATTACACTCCCACAACCAAACTCACAATTCCGCACTCCCAGCCCAGCCACCATTCATGCCGTCATTCCCGGAACCACAACCACAGCCGCACGCTGCAAGCCCTGAACCCCCCGGCGCACCTGCTGCTCGCAGAACGCCTCGAGCGCAGCCACGTCCTTCTTGGAAGCGAGCTCCTGAATCGTCGCCAGGTCCGCTCGGTACTGCCGGAAATCCTCGTCCTGCAATTGAAAAGGGAGGGGGTGGTTGGGTGTGCAACGGGAATGGGAGAGGGGATAAGGCAGAGGACGGAGAGAGATGGCAGAACTTAAGGCCAGCTTCTGAAGAGCCACCGGTCCGTACGGTTCTGGCGGAAGGCCACATACTATGGGGGGAGGAGCGAGAGGCGAAGGGTAGGACGGAACAGGAGCGGCAGCCCGGGGGGAAGGATGGGGGGAGAAAAGTCGACGCGGATCGGGAGGGCGGAAAGCAACACCCGCACACCTTTTTGTTGGTGGCGGCGCGCGCGGCGCGCAGCTCGTCGTAGACCTTATCCGCGTCGAGCTGCGCCTTGGCGCGCTCACCGAAGAGCGCTTGCACCTCCTCGTCCAGCGCCGCCGCCTCCGCCTCGAGCGTCGCACAGATCTTCTGCGCCGCGTCGCGCTCCAGCTTCAGCACGTCCACCTCCGCCATCAGCGGCTGGATCGGGGACGGGGAAGCGGATGGAGGGAGAGAGGTGGGGAGGGTGGGGAGTGTGGGGACAGTGGGGAGGAAGGGGGGGGTGTGGAGGGGGGAAGACGGGGAGTGGTGGGAGGATGGGAGGCGGGGGTGAAGGGCGGAGAGGCGAAGCGGACGTGTGACGTGAGTGTCGCGCTTCAGCTTCAGTATGTGGACACCCGCCCGCCGAGATCGGGTCAAATGGGGGAAAGGGGGGTGCTGGGAGGAGAAGCCACCATGACAAGAAAATCACACCATGACCATCACACAATGGTAAAACAATTACATCGACCGCAAATCCACCGCACATTCACATCATTTCGAGCATTCTTAACATGCCTGGCATTCCCACCCACTCTTCCCAACATGCCCAGCATTCCCAGCACTTCCAGCCTTCCCACCAGCGCAGCAGCGCGCGCGTTACCTTGAGGCGCTCCTGGATGGAGTCGCGCTGGCCCTGGCTCTCCTGGAACGACGCCGTGAGGGCCTCCATCTCCTTCACCTTGGGCCGCGACGCCTCCAGATCCTTGAGCTCCTTCATCAGCTGCTTCTCCTCCTTGAGCGATATCGTCTCGTGCTGCATGCGGTGCTCCGTCGCCGCGATCTGCGGCGGGCGGGACGGGTGAGGACGACCGGGATGGGATGGAAAAATATTTAGGGTCGCAATCGTCACTTCGATCCACGCGGCGTACGGCGGCCCGCCATGCGGGCCAAGCGCTGCGAAGGCTAGAGAAAGCGCGCTGTTCGAGTCGCAAAATTCGTTTGTGCAGACGAGGTGATGTGAGTCAAATTCGGTATTTTATTTAATTGATAGATTGGTCACGCGATCAACACTCACACGCAGATTTTTATTTAATCAGCGTTCGTATGGAACCAACACAGGATACTGATTGGCTTACCAGCGCGTTGAGCTGCGCCTCCGTGGTGCACTCGAGCCCGCGGCCCCTGTCGCGCACGCTCGCCTTGCTCTCGTTCATCTTGCGCAGCACGCCCTGCAGCGGCTTCGCCTCGTCGAACTTGTTGCGCACGTCTTGCGAACAATCCCGCGCGCGCGCCCGCGCGGCCTTGAGCGCCTCGAAGGCCTCCGACCATTGCGCCTGTGTCGGTGCATATTTTTCACACGAACAAACAGAAAAGAAAGCGACGATAAGACAACACAATCAGAAAGAAATTGTCAAACGGGAGTTCTCGAGGAAGAGACTTCACATATTCGTGCATATAGATGATTAAAAACGCGCGATGCGATACCTTCTTCGCGCGAAGAGCGGCACTAACGGCCTGCTGCTTGTCGCGCTTCTCCTTCACCCGCTGCTCCACCGCCTTGATCTTGTTGATCTCCGCCGACAGATCCGGACGCGGAATTCTGATGAAATAAAACTCGCGATGCGTGATCGTTGGTTCCGCCGCCATCTCCGGGACCGCCGCGAGCTCCGGAACGTCCGCTGGTGCGAAGCCAGAGTCAGCTCCATCCGGACCGATCGCGGGTTCGAATCCCGCAGTGCTCGATATGCCATCGGCCGATTCCAACGGAGCTGAATCGGCAATTTCTGCGGATGGGGCTTCCGTTCCCGAAGCGTCCCTTCCAATTTGCGAGACGTCTTCGACAACAGGCGGGATTTCGTCTCCTGATGCCATTACTACGAGTAAGGGTAAGCCCTCAAGTGACGGGCGTGCGGAAACACTGCGAAAGATCTTGTCTAGACCACAAATGGCAAAGAAAAACTCCTAGATCCGTCACCTACCCACCAGTGAAGGCGGATGAAGAAGCAGAAGTGAGATCTGGGAGTGAGGAGTTCAAAATGAATGAAGACTTGGATGATGTAATGAATTCAAGGCAATCATTCGCGTTATAGAGTCCCTCGATGATCGGGACCCCAGTCGACAACATCGAGGTTGGTGAAATGGGAACGAACAACCTGACAGGCAAACCGTTGACCTTGGCTGTCGGAGTTGCTTCGTTGGCAACCCACAGAATAGAGGGAAAATACATGCCTTGGCGTGCGCCAGAAGTCCCTGCCCGGCCTCCGAGAAAAGCGAAAAACGTCGGCGGGTGGAGGCACATCTGGCATATTACCGCAGCGCCTTGGGAACTCCTGCGTGGATTGTTCCTTGATGTGGTGCTGGCTTGTAGGGGGTGAAAGCTCTCGGTCAGGTCTGCTCGATAAGAAATTATTTTGCACAGTGTGTGGAACGATCTTGGTTTGGCATCTGGGGCAGCCTATCTGACCTGCGCCTTGGTGTTTGCGCCAAATTAAAGTGATCGATTTTCCTCGCCACAGCAAACCTCGCCACAAGTACATACTTGTACCGAATCAGCTGGACTGTACGTTATCCATTTCTCAAGGTCTACACTGTTTCAACGGTTGCTACTGGTGTTCGAAGTTCCCGCCAGAAATGATCAAATTTTCATTAGTGCAGTGGGCAACAGGTTTCTATTTCGAGCTGTTCTCAAAATTCTCGGGGACTTTAGGACTACCCAATGCAAAATCTCTGCACGGAGAGTCATTTTTATACCATCCCACAAACAAGGTATGCCCCACTTGGGAGGTTAAAACGACTTCAGACATTATAAGAAAGGTAGTTCGGGCCAGCCCTACGAGATACCAGAGGCACATCGACCTGCTACTCAAACATTTGGTGTGTTTGTCTTTGCCAAGGTAACGATCTCTCCAAATTAGCCGTTTCCAAACCCAAACCGCTCAATTCCCCAGGCAAATTTCCTCATCAACTCAACCACCATATTCGTTAGGCAGAACCCTTTCCCCACCATCAGCCACACCTCTCACAATTATAACGCAATATCTCCCTACAGCCCTTCGTCCTACTCAATGCATATGTAGTTGTTTAGGTCAATGCGACCCGTCGAATGCATAGTGAGTCAGGCCTTCAACTGGCGTCTCGCGTTGGGTGCACCCGTTATCGCTATTTTCCAGAACGTACCTTCACCAACAATCAGACAGCACGCCACTTAGCACGGTTACAAAGGAGTAAAAAACGTATCTTGTAACCCCTTGGCTGGTTAGTGTCACAATTGCGGCATGAGCGGCGGGGGACCCGGATGGGGGACGTTTTTCGGGCTCTCGCCCTCACAGTCTCGCGTGGCTCCAGATGAGAATGGCGCCGACAATGCAATTAAGGTCGGTGCACTCGACCAAGGCACAATCAGGTCCGTCGCGGTTGAAGGCGATGCAGCAAAGCCTTCTGGCGCTGTTCCTGACCCGGTTGCAGCGGCTGATACAGGAAACAATGTTTCCGCTGATACGAATAATGGCCTCCCGCCAACTGACGAGAATCCGCCTCAGTCAATCGATAGCCTCAAACCCGTTCTGGCGGTTCAACCAGTGGCAGCAGCGAGCAGCGCAGGCATGCAGGCAGAGGCGAATGGAATCTCCAGTGGTGCGAGCGAGAACCCGAAGGAGGGAGGGAGGGAGAATGTGGCGGAGGAGGCGCGAGAGGAAGTTACTGAGGGAGAGGTTCGGAAAGGGGAGGATAGGGTAGGAGAGGGAGGGGACAGGGAAAGGGAGAGCGTAGGGTTGGAGGTTGGGGGAGAGGCGAACGCGAAGCATGAGGGGGGCGAACAGCAGGGAGGGGAGGGTAACAAGGGTGGAAAGTTCTCCGAGGCGTCTGGAAGCCCGCCTGTGACGGAAGCTGGGACGCTGCTAAATGGGCGGCAAGCGCCGGCAGCGAGCGAGAATTTCGTCGAGGGCGGGAGGCAGGGTGAAATGCGGGTGGAAGGAGATGAACAGCAGCGAAATGGGCGGCCACCGGCGGAGAATGCGGAAAAGAAAGTGGATGTGCGTGTTGAGGAGGGGGGGCAGTTTAAGAGTAAAGTCCCGGAGACGCCTCAAGAGCTGGAAGAGAGACGAGGCGTTGAGAGGTCTGGAGAAGAGGGCGGGAACAAGGGCGTTGAGGGAGCGAGCAAGGGCGTTGAGGGGTTGGAGAGTGTGGTGGTGGTGCTTGCAGGGGAAGAGGGGGAACGGGCGGATGGCGGAGGGGGAACCGATGGGCGGAGCGAGGGGGAAGGGGGGAGGGAAGGGGGTAGTGCGGTAGAGAATGGAGGAGTTGAGAAGGTAGGAGACGGCGTCGTTGGGGGATCAGTAGGGAAGGCTGAGGAAGGCGAGGGAGCTGCTGCTGCGCCTCTGACGTCACCTGTGTCTGTCTCTTCCCCTGTCCCTGTCCCTGCTCCTCTGCCTGTCTCATCTCCTCGGCCTGTCTCATCTCCTGTGTCTGCCTCTGCTCCTGTGCCTGCCTCTGCTCCTGTGCCTTCTCCTGTGCCTGCCTCTGCCCCTGTGCCTTCTCCTGTTCTAGCCTCTGCTCCTGTGCCTTCTCCTGTGCTTGCCTCTGCTCCTGTGCCTTCTCCTGTGCTTGCCTCTGCTCCTGTGCCTGCCTCTGCTCCTGTGCCTTCTCCTGTGCCTGTCTCGCCACCTGTCCCTGTCTCGTCACCTGCGCCTGTCTCGTCACCTGCGCCTGTCTCGGCCTCGAACGACAGGCATCAAGAGGGCGGAGAAGAGCCGGGAAAGCAGACCAGGGATGGGATTCGTGGGAATGGGATGCCTGACGCGGTGCCCAATGCTGGTAGCGGAGACGCTGATAAGGCGGATGAGGGGAGAAAGGAGATGCGGTCCAAGGTGGAGGAGCTGCTGGCGCAGGCTGCTGCCCTGAGGGCGCGCGGACAGGCGCGTGGGGGAAGCGCGGAGCGGGGGAACGCGGGCCTGGGGGACGGGGGAGAGGGCGGAGAGGGGGAGGGGGAGGGGGGGAGCGACGGGGACGGGGAGGAGGAGGGGAGGTGGGAGGGAACCAGTGAGGAGGAATCACCGATGGAAAGGGAGATAAGCTGGGGGGATGATGATGATGATGAGGATGATGAGAGTAGTGCAGGGGAGGAGGAGCAGGGCGGAGGAGGCGGGGGCGGAGGGGGAGGGGGAGGGGGAGTGCACCGCATGGTGCATCTGCAGCGCGCCCTGGCGGAGCTGACTGCTGCTTCCAGGGAGAGGGAGAGGCGGAAGAGAGAGGCTGCAGACGCTGCTGCTGCCGCCGCTGCTGCTGGCGGTGGTGGTGGTGGTAGTGCTGCTGCTGCTGCTGCTGGTCGTGTCAGTGCTTCTGCCTCTGCCGTTGTCGGTACTGCGACTTCAGCTGGTGGTACTGCTGGTGATGCTGCTCCCGCTGTTGGTGGTGACACAGCAAGAGCGGAAGGGGGAGCAGCAGTGGGAGCAGCATCAGCAGGAGTTGGGACGGAACCTGCAGCAGGCTCAGTACCTGGAGAGAGGGAGAAGACAGACGTGAGTACGGCCAATGCTTTGGATGCAGCAGGAGAGGGGGCGGACAGACAAGGACAAGGGCCAGGTGAAGGGGCTGGAGACGGGGATAAGAAGCAAGTAAAAGAGGCTGGGGACGGGGCAGGGGAGGCCCAGGGGGAAGGAGGCAAGGACGAGGGGCAGCAGAAACAAGATGTTCCTGTGGGAAAGTTACAGAAGGAACTGAAAGGGCTCGAGCTGATGCTGGCACGTGTGAAGCAGCGGCAGGTGGAGGAGCAGCAGCAGAAGGAGAAGGAGAAGCAGGCTGAGGCGGAGAGGGAGAGGCGGAAGGAGGAACAGCAGAGACAGAGGGAGAGGAAGCAGCGGGAGGAGCGGTTTAACGAGCTGCTGGAACGGCAGAGGGAGGAGGAGGAGGAGGAACGGGGGGGGAAGGGAGGCGGATCAGGGTCAGGGAGTGGCGGGGGAGGGGGAGACAGGAAGGCATTGCTTGCAGGGCTGACTCTTGCTGGTACAGGCGCTGATGCAGGGATGAAGGGGAAGGGCAAAGGAAGCTCTGCCAAGAAAGGTAGTAGCGGAGGGGGAAGAGAAGCGGAGGATGACGAGGAGGAAGAGGATGAGGAGAGTGAGAGACCGATGGGGTTGGAGGAGGCAAAGGCGCACCTGCTGAGAGTGGCAGCAGAGGGGTTTGAGAGGAAGCGCAGAGCAGAGGAAGAGGATCCGCAGATGACGGTTGGGGCGCTGCCTGTGATTCCCGAGGGGGATAAGGAAGGAGAGGAGACGGATGATGAGGAGGGGGTGGTGGGGTCGATAGGGGGTGGATGGGCGAGAGGAGTGGTGGGAGTCAGGGCTGCTGAGCGGGAGGAGGTGGAGGGGAAGGTGGAGGAGAAGAAGGGGAGTGGGGAAGAGGCGAAGGGAAAGGAGGAGGAGGTGAGGAGGGAGCAGAGCGCTGGAGGTGGTGGTGGAGGAGGAGGAGGGGGAGTTGCAAGAGGGTTGGGGTTGTTGTCGCTCTTTGGTTCGTTTGGACTAGGCCGCGGTGCAAGTGTGTCGGCAAGCAATGGTGGCAGCAGCAGCAGTGGTAGTGGTGGTGGTGATGGGAGTGGACCCAAGCCTGCTGCAACCCAAGCGACTGCTGCCAGCCCTGCTGCTGCTGGTGGTTCTGCTGCTGGTGCTGGTGGTGGTGCTGTCAGCAGCACCAGTACCGCATCCAACCCAGCAACACCCACAACAAGTGAATCTTCCTCTGCACCGCCTGCCTCCTACGCCACTGCTGCTGCCGCCGCCGCCGCCGCTGCGGCTGCAGCTGCGGCGGCCTTCGCACCCTCACCTGCCACGTCAGCATCCCCGCCCCCAACCGCCACGTCAGCATCGTCATACAGGCCAATGGGGGACAAGAAGAGCAGCTCGCCAGACACTCTCCCAGACCGCCCGCATCCCTCCACACACAGGGATGCTAGCCCCTCCCTCTCTGGCTCTCCTGCTCCAACCACTACCGCTTCTCCCTCTGCTGCTGCCGCAGCCGCTGCTGCTGTCGGTACCGGTACCGCTCCTGCCTCTCCTCCCCTGTCAGGCTTCCCCCCACGCATGAACCCCAACAGCCCCTTGACCTTCAGTCTGGGCCTATTCGGCGGCCCACTAGACATGGCTATGACCTCCTCCTCCTCCCCCTCAGGCTCCCCCCACCCCTCCCGCTCCTCCTCCTCCTCCTCCGCCTCCCTCTCCCTCTCCGGCCCCACCTCCCTCTCCCTCTCCCTCGGTCCTGCGTGCGCCTCTGCCAACACTCCAACCCCTGTCTCTCTCCCGTCCTCTCTCTCCGAATCCCAAGTCAGCTCCTCCTCCCCGCCCTCCTCCCTCGCTCCACAGCCCTACTCCCTTGCTGTTCCCGCCTCGCCTCGCACAAGCTTCCCCTACTCCATGCCGGCCTCTCCCTCCTCTCTTGTGGTGCGGGACGTGGATCATGCAAAGAAGCAGCTCCTATCCATGGCAGGGGAGGCGAAGGAGCGGATTGGCGGGCTCGAGCGCCAGCTGGCGGCGCGGGACGCAGACGTCGCCAGGCTGGAGGATGAGGTGGCGGCGCTGCGCGCTGAATCGGACCGGCGAGAGGCGGAGGTGGCAAGGCTGGTGGAGAGGTTAAAGGAGCAGGAGGAGAGATGGGCTGCTGCCTCTGCTGCTGCCGCTGCTGCTGCTGCCACTGGCACGAGCAGGGCATCAGGGGGAGGAGTGGGAGGTGCAAGCAGCAGCAGAGTAGGCCTAGCAGGCAGCCGGGTGGAAGACCAGAGGAGAAGGCTCGAGCAGCAGCCGCAGCAGCAGGTGATATCGAGAACGGTCATGCTGCAGAGGCAGCTGCAGGCAGCTGCTCCCCGGCCAGGCAGAGGTCCCCGGTGGCAGACCTTGGAGCGGCGCCTGGAGCAGAAAGATGAGGTGCTGGTTCGGCTCATGGGGATTGCCAAGGACCGGTGGCGGGAGGTTCGGCGCGAGGTTCGGCGCAAGGACAAGGTGATTGCAGAGCTGGCTGAAATGGTGGTTCGGGTCCAGGCTGAGAGGAGGTCCGGTGGTGGTAGTGGTGGTGGAGAGAGTGTGGGGGAGGGAGGGAGTGAGGGAGGGGATGGCACGGGGAGGAATAGCTTGGAGGAGGAAGTGAGGAAGTTGTTGGAGTTTGCACTGAGGCATGGGGAGGAGGTGGAGGGGGTTCTTACTAAGGAAGAGCAGAAGCTACAGGAGGTCTTTGAAGCAGCAGACATTGAGGGGCTGAAGTGGGGTGTAGATTCGGGGATAGTTATGTCGGGGGCTGGTAGCAGTAGTGGAGATGCAGGAGGCGTGTGCGTGGTGTCTGGTCAGGAAGGCAATGGTGAAGAGGTGACTAGTGTTACCAGTAGTAGGGTTGCTCACAGGACGGAGAAAGTGGCAATTGCTTCACAAAGAGGGGCAGGAGTGGCTAGACTGAGAGGAGATAGGAGCCTTACTGATGATCGTGTTAGGTTTAGGGGTCAAGGCTCAAGGCGTGCTGGTTTGGGAACCCAGCGCTAAAATAATCATTTTTTAGGGTGTAATGGTGCTGCTCCTAACCCCTTAAGACAACAGGTTCCTCATCTATAATCCTGCTAACTAGTTTATTGCTAACTGTATATTTTGTACCTCTACACTTCCAGCTAGATGGCGAGTCGCCGCAATTGCAGCTATGGGGTGTGACCGACAAGTCACGATGGAACGATTTCAAGGTTCGCGATTCGCTAGAGGCATATCATGGGCGCCGCGTTTCACGGCACAGAACTGAAATATGGAAAGTTCTGTCACCAGTATCTTTTTGTGGGTACATACACTTCGAACGCTTTTCTTAACACCCTTTATTTCTTCAGTAAGTATACACCAATATTGTGTCATTTGAAAATGTACACCAATATTGTGTCATTTGAAAATGTTGCGAGTTAGAAGTACACGATGGGCAGAAAAAACAAGCTGCCACATAGCATCCCCCGACCGCGATGCCCTGCCGCGTCGCGCAGGAATGCTCGTTCACACGCTCCCTGCTGCCCGCATCAAGTACTGTAGAAAGCAACGCCGCAGTGTACACAACCAACCACGAAGTAAGCAGCCAACTTCTCGGACAAATAAATTAGCCCCCTTTCGCCAAACATAGCACAGCGAGGGAGTGTGAGTAGCTGGTCAAAGAGACGCACGGCACAGTGACACAGCATCCTCTTATATTAAGTGGCTGAGATCATTTTTTTAGAGTCACTCCAGAAGAAATTACATCTGCTGCTTTCCTCAACCTCTCCCCATTCGTCCTCCAGCCTCCTACTGCCTATCCGAGCGTGCAGACATTATCAGCGCCGAAATCGCCAGGCTTCCCTTCAGCCATGGCGTTATCACTCCGTCTCCTCGCCGTGATCCTTGCTGTGAGCTCCATGGCGGTCGTCGGCGCGCAGCGAGTGGACGTGTCGTTCAACCAGAACTTCGTCTTCCCCTCGTGGTGCAAGCCGCCCTTCTGCACCAGCGCGCCTGACGGAAGCATCACCCTCGCCGTCACCCCCAAATCCGTCGGAGGTGAGCCTGCGACGTCCGACTGCGACAACGCCATGCGATAATAGCAGGTGTAGGCGGCTGGAACATGCGACGACATTATGCGTGATAAAGAGTCTCTAGGAAGACCGAAGCGTGAAATTGTTCTTTCCTCATGCCCAATGTTGACTTCAACTGCGTCACTCTTCTCTTATCACACTGTCCCTAACACCCTGCTAATCCCGCCTTCGAGGGGCTAAGTAAGAAAGGTTGTAAACCGGGTTGGTTGCCAACTTCCAAACAATCACTCTCCCCCACCCTTGCAGTCTTCGAGTCCAAGGGTGTGTACAGCTACGGCATCTACTCCGTGCGAATGAAGCTCCCCGCGGGCTACTCGGGCGGCATTATCCCGTGCATTTACCTCATCACGCCCGGCGCCTCGTCATACCAGTCGATCCACGACGAGATCGACCTCGAGTTCCTCGGCGGCACGGATCCGCGCAACATCACCATCCACACCAACCTCATCACGGGCGGCCAGGTCAAGCTGGAGCAGTTCCGCTTCCCTTTTGACCCGTCGGCGGCGTTTCACACGTACACGATCGTGTACTCACCGGATCGGGTGATGTGGCTGGTGGACAATACGCCCATCCGCATCACCAGCAGGACGCCAGGGAAGCCTTTCCCATCCGACAACGTCAAGATCATGGTGAGTTGGCACCTCCCATGGGAATCGGACGGCTGAAACCACGACGCGAGGATTCAGGTGCAGTAAACCCAAACGAATCAGGCTTCGCTGGTAATACCCTGCCGCCCTCCAAACGAAATTCAGCTCTACCCAAATGTGAAGTCTTCGTTAACCCTTTTTCTACGTTGTTTTTTTGTTTACATTTTTATTTCTTTCGAATTTTCCAGGGCTCCATTTGGGACGCGTCGTCGTGGAGCAAGCTCAAGCCCAGCTACGCGAACGGCCCGATCAAGGTGCAATACAGCCACTTCGACGTGCGTAGGACGTGCCGCGTGCCGCCCAGCGGCGCCGTTCCTCCCTGCAAGTCGTGGCGCAACGTCGCCCAGGCGCCGTGGATGGGGGTTCCAACGGCAGCCCAACTGGCGCGTTTTAGACAGTACCGGCAAAGGTTCCTTGTGGCTGACTACCCTTGGGGTCCTGCCAAGTGAGGACGGAAATACTAGAGCGTGGGTGGCAACATCGCTATTTCCCCTTCGGCGTCCTATCGGTGTAAACGTAGAGAGTGTGGGTGACCCGACGCTTCCTTGGGCGATACGCTTATTGGGGAAATGGTTCTAGGGCGACATGCTTGTTGGGGAATTGCTTCTAGGTCGACATGCTCCATTGCAATAATGAGTAGGGGGATACCGGGTGGAATCTGGGAATGCTTATTAATCATGACAACCTGCACAAATATTTCTTGGATTAGTTGAAAATAGATGTTAGATTTTGCAAGTGAGCATCTTTCCCTTAGCACATCATGCAGGGCTCAAATGTTCGGAGCCACTGTTTTTTTAATAGGGCTCGTTTCTCAAAATTTGCGATATTTGGAATTTTATGTCACGCATGAATTGGAGAACCGAAATAACAGGCTTTTAACTAGTTATATTCGCTTTAAGAACACGACATTTAAGTGCAAGCTTATGTAGTTCAATGGCCAACGTTCTTCCAACTCGGAGAGGAAATTCCGACGAAACTCATAACCACAAGACGTCGCTGTTTTCGCATCGCACATGCGACTCGCGATCGCCCTGACCGACCACTCCAAGCAGTGCTTTCCCAGCGCAACACATGTGCGAGGCGATTTCTTTCTGACCGACGGCGTTCGCAGGGGGCCTCAACGTGTCGCCGATCATCCGCCATCGCAGAATTTGACAAATGCATTCGGGATTGAATGCACGCGACTCGGGTCGCCCAAATGCCGCCAAGAGAATTGTGAGCGAGCAATTTGCACAATTATATCAACAAATCGCGCCACCAGGCCAAAACTCAGCCCAGCTGTGCTGTGTGTCCCCCTCTCCTCGTTCCCATCAACTTCCTGATCATACCTCCCCTTACCCTCCTCCCTGCCCTGCAATGTCATTCGACATTCACTTTGTCATGGGAATAGCACGCGTCACCTCAACGACATAAAGCATGAACGAACAGTCTTATTTTCCGTTAGATGCTGATCCTGCCGAAGTGAAATCCGGACGATCGATCACTAGCTTTTTTTAGCAAGCCGGAGGACCGAAACCTGCTGCTAAATCATCTACTGGAATCGCCACTGAAAAACGATTTCTAGAAACCCGTTCTCACGCAAAGACACAGCTGGATTAACGTCAGCGCTCTCCCCTTCTCACATGAGGCGAGGCCCGTCGCCATCGATGGCAACTTCTAGAGGTCGTCTTCCGTTGTACCGGCAGCCATGCCGACGCTCCGCGCTTTTACGACTCCTTGCCGCGCTCCTCCCCACACTTGCGCTCCTCGCGCAATCCTCCGCCTTCCATTCTTCCGCCCGATCGCGGAAAGCCGCGCACTGGCCCGGCCGATCGCTTGCCGGCAACAACTTGGCGCGCCACACTGCCCCCAGACCAGAAGACGTGATACCCTCGGATTTCGGGGGTAGATTCAGGGATCCCCATGGGCCCCTCGCTACAATGGCGTCTGCGATCACCCCTCAGGATGTCGAGATCGCTCGCGCTGTTGTCACAGCTGAGGCTACGTCGTTTCAGTCAACGCGGTCAACACAAGCCAGCATCAGCAGCAGCAAGACTCCGAGCCCAACGAAGGTTCCGAGCAAGAGCCCAGGTTCGCCGGCCAATACCAAGAGCCCGCCAAAGGGCAAAAGTAATAAGAGCCCTCCTAAGAGCACTGGCAATAAAAGTCCGCCGAAGGGGGCGAACAGTAAGAGCCCACCTACAGCATCCAACAATAAAACCCCACCGAAGGCGAATGTCGGCAGTGCTTCAGCCCCGAAGCCCCCGCAACAGGCTTCCAAGTCCCCCCCGAAGCCGAACCCGCGCTCCCCGCCCGCTCAGAAGCCTCCCGCGCAGAATTCCCCGGCACCGCAACCTTCCGCTTCCCCCAAGAAGACTCCCCCCGGGAACCTTGAAACGACGCGGGCCGCAAGCGGAACGAGCGCGAGCGGAAGCACCGGGGCCAGCGGAAGCACGGGGGGAACAGGGGGAACTGTGTCGAGTGGCGGAACTGGTAGCAGTGCGGGAAATACCAGCGGGAGCAGTACTAGCAGTTCCGGGGCAACCGCGAGCAGCAGCAACAGCACGGGTTCATCGGGTAACACGAGCACCACGGGCAGCACAAAGAGCTCGGGCAGCAGCACGAACAGCACGGGCAGCACGGGCAGCACGGGCAGCAGCAGCTCCAACAGTACTGGAACTGGCAGCGGCAGCGGCGGTGGTAACTCGACCAGCGGCGCGAGAAGCGGGAGCAGCGGGGGAAATTCCACCAGCGGAACCGGGAGCGGGGGCGGAACCGGGAGCGGAGGCGGAACCGGGAGCGGAGGCGGAACCGGGAGCGGAGGCGGAACCGGGAGCGGAGGCGGAACCGGGAGCGGAGGCGGAACCGGGAGCGGAGGCGGAACCGGGAGCGGAGGCGGAACCGGGAGCGGAGGCGGAACCGGGAGCGGAGGCGGAACCGGGAGCGGAGGCGGAACCGGGAGCGGAGGCGGAACCGGGAGCGGAGGCGGAACCGGGAGCGGAGGCGGAACCGGAAGCGGAGGCGGAACTGGAACCGGGGGCGGAAGTGGCAATTCAACGGACAAGCCATTCGTGTGGACGATCCCGCCGCGCAGGAAGGTGCCGGGAGTGGATAAGTCGTTCGACAAGTACTTCAAGTTCCCCGACTGGTGCAAGGAGAGCAACTGCCGCAAGGACAACAACGGGACTGTCACGCTCTCCGCCACCAACCAGTCCGTTGGAGGTAGGTTCAGCGCGGTGCAATGCGGCGAGAGGTGCTTGTATCACTTCTGAGAGTGCCGGGAGTGGATAAGTCGTTCGACTTCTAGTTCCCCGACTGGTGCAAGGAGAGCAACTGCCGCAAGGACAGCAACGGGACTGTCACGCTCTCCGCCACCCACCAGTCCGTTGGAGGTAGATGCAGCGTGGTGCAATGGGGTGTGTAGTGCATTAAAGAATGAGGTCCAGCTCACCCCACCCCCTTTGCCCGCACTCTGAGCGCATCGTCTCATGCGATCCCCACCCCACTCCCCAACTGCGCATGCGCACACGACACCCCTGAGAGCTTTCAGTCGTCTCAAAGTCCCACTCCGCCATTTCAACATTTCCCCCACCCCCCATCCTCCTCAACCCCCCACCCCCCAACCTCCTCAACCCCCCACCCCCCACCAGTGTTGTACTCCACAGACTGCAACAAGTACGGGGTTGTCTACAGCCTGCTCACCCCGCCAGCCCGTCACCCCCTCAGCCTCTCACCCCTTCACACCCCCACACCCCCCATCCCCCCATCCCCACCAGTATTCTACTCCAAAGACTACTACAAGTACGGCGTGTACAGCCTGCGCATGAAGCTCACAAATCAACCCCTCTCATCCCCCACCCACAACCCCACACCCCCTCAACCCCAACTCTCCCACCAGTCCTCTACTCCAAGGACTATCACAAATACGGCGTGTACAGCCAGCTCCTCACCCCCTCAGCCTCTCACCCCTTTTCCCTCACCCCACCTCCTCATCCCCCCACCAGTGTTCTACTCCAAGGACTACTACAAGTATGGAGTCTACAGCCTGCGCATGAAGCTGCCGAGCAACTACTCGGGCGGCATCATCCCGTGCTTCTACCTCATCTCGCCGGGCCCACAAGGCTACACAGACATTCACGACGAGATCGACTTTGAGTTCATCGGCGGGGAGAACCCCATGGATATCACCATCCATACGAATTTGATCACAGGCGGGCAGGTCAAGCTGGAGCAGTTCAAATTCCCGTTCGACCCGGCCGCGGATTTCCACACGTACTCGCTAGTGTACTCTCCAATGTATATCATGTGGATGGTTGACGACTATCCGATACGGATCACCGTCAACGAGACCGGCCATCCGTTCCCAACGCTCCCCATGGAATTCAAGGTATGCCCTGCTACTTGCAGGATTTTTAAGTGAGCCAGTGTATTGTTATTGTTTTTTCCAGCATTTTATCCAGCCCCTGCCTGCCCTCCAGCTGTCCTACCCTTAACAAACTTCCAACTCATACCTTCCTTTGACATCTGTGCCCCCTTTCGCAGGCTTCGATATGGGACTCCTCGTCGTGGAGCTGGCTCAAGGCGAACTACAGCAACGGCCCAATTCAAGCGCAGTACCGCGAGTTTGACTTCTCCCGCTCCTGCCAGATGCCTCAAGACCTCTCTGAACCGCCCTGTCTGCGCCTTCGCTCGTCCAAGCATGCCCCGTGGCTGTCCAAAATGACTCTGCCACAGCTCAGAAAGGAGAGGGCGTTTAAAAAGTTTTACACCAAGAAGATTTACGACTGGTCTGAGGCCAAGTGAGGAGGGATGACTAATCCATTTTTGGCCTACTCTTCGACCGAGGCCAAGCAAGTGCAGGCATGGGGCAGCCTTGCGGAAGGCACTGATTTCTGTGCTGGCCTGGGGCTCATATACTTGTGGCTGCTTGTGGCTGCAGTGGGCACAAATAGCAATAGCTCAACATTTTGTGGGATGGGGGGAGCCTGGGTGGGGATGCTTAAGCTATGCTGTGAAGAGATGTTTATCCCATCGGCTCGATGGACGACATTTATGTTTTTTTTTTGTTTTTTTTTTTTGCAATAATAAGGGCCTACAACATCGAGGTTAGTGGCTCAAATGCTTCAAAAATATGAAATCAAGAGTTGGGAGAGTAAGAATCTGAGTAGTGTTGACCCAAGAGTACATTGTAATCGTTGCTTTTATCGCATTAAGCTTTAATTTTGCTGCCACTCCATTCCTCTCTAACGATGACGCGTACATGTCGTCACCTCGGAACATTACCACGTCACCACGCTCTCCCTGTCAAAACAAGATCCCCCGACCCATTGGCCTGCGAGAGAGGATAGAACATACATCTTCTATCTAGTCGATTCACTCTCCGAGTGTATTTTTCTGTACTGACCCTGCTGTCCGACTGTCGTCGTGCGCGACCATACCCTTCCCCCACACCCACCCACACGCGCACTCAACGGCACACAGCATCGCTGCATAGCCGTCGCTCGCGCCTCGCTCCCCCCTCGCGCGCCTCTAACATCGTCCACGCCTCTCCTCCCGCCTCCCCCTTCGCGCGCCGCCCCACGCCGCCCCAGGCTCCCCACACCACCACCACCACCACCGGCGCCGCTGCATACTCACGTCTCACGCTCCACGCGCGCCGACCCTCGTCGCGCTCCTGCGCGTAGCGTCCATGGCCTCGTCACGCATCTCGCTCCAAGCGCGCCGATCCTGCTCTCTCACGCGCGCGCTTACATCGAGACACGGTCTATGGACGCCCCACGCACCCTTCGCTTTATGCACATCCGCGTTAAGCACGCCATTCGCGAGCACACCTTGCGCCAGCAGCGCAAACGGCGGGGCTCATTCCCGTAGCTACTCCTCTGCTGGTGACGTGGCGGATGCTGACGTGTCACCGGGGGAACAGGCGGGGCGGAAGGCGGCGGCGGAGCTGCAGGTGCTGGGGGTGGTGGGCGCGGGGCAGATGGGGAGCGGAATCGCGCAGCTGGGAGGTGCGCGTGGGGCGGGCATTTGGGGCGAAATGGGAGGGGGGGAGCGGGAGTGAGAGCGGCGCGGGGATGTGCGTGGTGGTGGAGGACGTGAGTGCGACGGCGCTGCCCGCAGGCCTCTTGCAATGAATCCTGCTCAATCCGCATCCCCTCCATCCATCCCCCTCTCGCTCCCGCTCCCCTGTCCCTCCACGGCAGCCATGGCGGGGATGCGAGTGGTGGTGGCGGACACGAGTCGAGCAGCACTGGATGCATGTATGGCCGGCATCAAGCACTCCCCTCCCCCCTCCCCCTCCCCCTTCCCTCCTTCCCCCGTCCCCCCTTCCCCCCCTCCGCTACCCCTCCCCCCACGGCAGCCATGGCGGGGATGCGAGTGGTGGTGGCGGACACGAGTCTAGCAGCGCTGGATCACTGCATCGGCGGCATCAAGCACTCCCTGGGGCGCCTTGTTAGCAAGGGGCGACTTGATGAGGTTGGTGGGTTGTGGGGAGGGGAATGGGAGGGAGGCAGGGGGACATGGGGACATGGGGCATGTCTGCATGCATGGGCGGCCCTGGGGCCCCTTGTTAGCAAAGGGCGGTTGGATGAGGTGGGTGGGCAGGGGGAAGGCAGGGGGAAGGCAGGGGGAAGGCAGGGGGACATGGGGTCGTGGATGGCCGGCATGAAGCACTCGCTGGGGCGCCTGCACACCACCCCAGAGCTGACTCCTTTGGAGCAGTCAGGCTTGGTTGTGGAGGCCGTGGCGGAGAGGAGAGGAGAGCAAGGCAGTGAAGCGCATTCTCATATGTGAACCCCGCCCTCCACGCCCCTTCTTTCTTCTGCCTCACAGGCAGCACCACCAGCGGCAACACTAACCCGGATTCGCACCACCCCAGAGCCGAGTCCGTTGGAGCAGGCAGACTTGTTTGTGGAGGCCAGCAGCCCCAGCGAGCCATGGGGGAGAGCGAGCCATGGGGGAGAGCGAGCGGTGGCAGTGAGAGACAGTGCGGTGGTGAAACACGTTCTTCCCTTCCAACAGCTCTCATATGTGAACGCCCAAAAGTTCTCATACGTGAGCGCCCTCATACGTGAACCCCGTTTGCCACGCCCCTGCTTTCGTCTTTCGCCCAGGCAGCAGCAGCGGCAACACTAACCCGAATCCGGACCACCCCAGAGCTGACCCCTCTGGAGCGAGCAGACTTGCTAGTAGAGACCGTGGCAGAGAGCGAGGCGGTGAAGCCTCGTGCAGCCTACCTCAATGCAGCCCACACCCCATCCCCCACGCCGCATCCCCCACGCCCCTTTCCCAGGCAGCAGCAGCGGCAACACTAACCCGGATCCGCACAACCCCAGAGCTGACTCCTTTGGAGCAGGCAGACTTTATAGTTGAGGCGGTAGCAGAGAGCGAGGCGGTGAAGCGCAACGTGATTGGCCGGCTGGACGGCATCGCCCCGCACCACGCGGTGCTCGCGAGCAACACCTCCTCCATCTCCATCACCCGCCTTGCTGCTGCCACTAGCCGACCCGATCAGGTGAGTCAGGGCGCATGAGAGACAGGCGGTGTGATGAGCCGGCTGGACGGCATCGCCCCACACCGCGCTGTGCTGGCGAGCAACACGTCTTCCATCTCCATCACCCGCCTTGCTGCCGCCACTAGCCGACCCGATCAGGTGAGCTGTCTATCACCCTGCCTGCCCCGCACCCCCAACATTGCAGCATTGCCCCGCACCACGCTGTGCTGCCCAGCAACACTTCCTCCATCTCAATCACCCACCTTGCCGCTGCCACCAGCCGACCCGATCAGGTGAGCGAGGGCCGCCACCGCACTGTGCTGGTGAGTTAGGTGAGTCAGCCTCAGGTGATGAGCCGGGTGGACGGCATCGCCCCGCACCTCATTTTGTTTGAGGTTGGTTTTGAGAACTCTTAAAATCAACCGTGCTGGTGAGTAGGTGAGTTAGCCTCAGGTAGTGAGCCGCCTGGATTGCATCGCCCCACACTAGGCAGCGCTGGCGAGCAACACGTCGTCCATCTCCATCACCCGCCTTGCTGCTGCCACCAGTCGACCTGATCAGGTGAGGTGAGCAGGTCAGCAGCTTATCACCCCACCTGCCCCGCTCCACACTTAGATGGCTCATGCCACATGTCCCCTTCCAACCCCCCCCACATTCCAATGCCCTTCCCGCCAATGCCATTCCAATGCCCTTCCAATGCCCATTCCAATTCAGGTGATCGGCATGCATTTCCTGAACCCACCTGTCATCATGTCGCTCATTGAGGTGGTGCGGCATGTGGCCTGCCACATGCCACACCGTGATGCCACTCTATTGCCCTTCAAACTGCCCCCGTTTCCCCCCCATACCCCCTTCCCCCCATACCCCCTTCAGGTGATCGGAATGCATTTCATGAACCCACCTGTCATCATGTCATTGGTGGAGGTGGTGCCAGGGCTTGCCACGTCAGACCACACGCTGCACCTCACCAAGGGCCTCGCGCACAGGTGGGGGGGATTGGTGTGGATGGGGATAGGGGATGGGCGCATAGGTGGGTGGGTGGGATGGGTGCACTGGCGGGGGGAGGATGGGGATGGGTGCACAGTTGGGAAGGAGAGTGGGTATGCACGGTGGTAGGCCAATCAATATTGTTGAACATGCCTTTGCTTTTCTCCTGGCTCACTGCGTGTTCCACTGCCCCTGCGTGCCCTTCCTTCCCCTCGCCCGACCCTGCCGTCCAGGTTCGGGAAGGCGGTGTGTGAGGCGCGGGACTACCCGGGGTTCATAGTGAATCGCCTGCTCATGCCCATGATCAACGAGGCCTTCTATGCCCTTTTAGAAGGGGTCGGCACTGCACAGGACATTGATAGGGGCATGAAGCTGGGCACTAATCAGGTGGGTGTTGTTGTTGTGCCTGTGCCTCCCTCTGCTCATGCCCATGATCAACGAGTGCGCTGCTGGAGGGCGTGGGCACGGCCCAGGACATTGACAGAGGCATGAATCTCGGTACCAACCAGGTGGGTGCTTATTGCATTGTGCGTTTTCCTGCATTTCACTGCTCATGCCCATGACCAACGAGGCCTTCTATGCGCTGCTGGAGGGTGTTGGCACGGCCCAGGACATTGATAGAGGGATGAAGCTCGGCACCAACCAGGTGGATCATACCAATGAGGGCATAGACCTGTTCATGCCTCCCCCCGCCTCTCACTGCTCATGACCATGATCAACGGGCCTTCTATGCGCTCCAAGAAGATGTTGGCACTGTACAGGACATCGACAGAGGGATGAAGCTTGGCACGAATCAGGTGGGTCTTGCTTTCTCATCTTTTTACCTCCGCCTGCTCATGCGCATGATCAACGTGACATGAGCAAGACCCATGTGATCAACAGGGCCTTTTATATGCTCTGCTGGAAGGGTCGGCTCGGCATGGGTCACGACATTGATAAGGGTATAGAGCTCGGCACCAAGCAGGTGGGTCATGCCTATGAAGGCATGGTGTTGTTCATGTGACTGCTGAGTGCTGCATTTCGCTCTAGGCCGCTGCTCTCGTCCCAACCCGCTCTCTACCACCTGCTCCTCCCCCCATGTTTCAGCCCATAGGACCGCTACACCTGGCGGACCTGATGAGCTGGACACATGCGTTGCCATCATGCGAGTGCTGCATGCAGAGCTGGGAGATGCCAAGTACCGCCCCTGCCCTCTGCTCTCGATCCCCTCTGACCTCCACTGCTTGATACCCTCCTCTCCAACCCCCTCTGCCCCCCATGCCGCAGCCCATGGGACCGCTACATCTAGCCGACCTGATAGGGCTGGACACCTGCGTGGCCATCATGCGAGTGTTGCATGCGGGATTGGGAGACGCCAAGTACCGCCCGTGCCCGCTGCTCGTGCAGTATGTTGATGCCGGGTGGCTGGGTCGCAAGAGTGGGCGCGGCGTGTATGAGTATCCAAAACAGGAGGAAGGGAAGAGGGAAGGGGAAGTGGAGGGGGAGGGTGGGGGGAAGACGGTGAGAGGGAGACAGCTGGCGGGTAGACGGACTGCGCACTAGGATTAGTGCTGCATGCAGGGCAGGCGGAGATGGTGAGGAGACGCCAAGTACCACCCGTGCCCGCTGCTCGTGCAGTATGTTGATGCCGGGTGGCTTGTCTGCAAGACTGGCCGCACCGTGTAGTACCCCAGGCCGGTGGAGGTGGGACGGGAAGGCGAGGTGGAGGGGGGGGGGGGGGGGGGGGGGGGAGGAGAAGACAGTGAGAGGGAGACAGCTGGCGGCCTGATGGGCTGGGCACTAGCACTGATGCCGCACGCAGGGCTGGGCACTAGCATTGGTGCTGCATGCAGGGCTGGGCACTAGCATTGGTGCTGCATGCAGGGCTGGGCATTAGCATTGGTGCTGCATGCAGGGCTGGGCACTAGCATTGGTGCTGCATGCAGGGCAGACGGAGGAGGTGAGGAGGAGAGGGCAATGGGAGACAGCTGACGGCCTGATGGGCTGGGCACTAGCACTGATGCCACACGCAGGTCCGGGGGACGCCAACTTCGCTGCTCCTGCAGTACGTGGATGGGGGCTGGCTGGGTTGTAGGACTGGGAACGGCGCTTAGGAGTATTTACTAGGATGGGTGTGTTCTGGCGTGCCATGGGGATACCAAGGGAAAGTGTAGGGTATTTTAAGGAGGTCTAAAGAGGAGTTGAAGGCGATGCAGATCAATTGACAACTGTGCCACATGGGGTGTTGTTGATGCTTGTTGCAGGTGGTGAATGCAGGCAGGTGTTGGGAGGAAGAGGGTGTGGGTGCAGGAAGGCAGGGCAAGTGGTGGACGAGTTGTCTGCTTCTCAATAGTAGAACGGACTAAGCTACTAGCGGAAGCTTTAGTAGTCTTAGAACCTCCTCCTAAAACCTAGGAATCTTAGGAACCCGCTTGGGCATGAACCATGCTAGAACCAAAGTGGTTTCCAAGAAGTGAAGTCCCAACAAGAGAGAACCGTAACCTAAAGGGTTTGGGAGGTGGTCCATTCTATAGAGTGTACACCACAAGTTCTCCCAATCCAACCAATGTATAGTGTAGATGTATCACTACATGTGTTTATTGGAGCAGCCCAAATTAACCTTAATTCCAACACCTCCTCTTGCTCCAATAAGCATTAAAGTTCACCCATAAATCACAACACTGTTGGGCTGAGAAGCCCTAGGATCTTTGTAGAGTTTAAGGACTGAGTAGGATTGTAATAGCGGAAGCGTTGTAATACAGAGTGGTTGAACCACCTTGCACTAGTATGTGAGAGCAAAGTAAGTTAGATTAAACAAGCAAATACAAGGTTTATATAAGAGTACAAGAAATACGAATCGATAGATTTAAACCGTTTTACTGTTGCGATTCGATACAGTGCGACTCGGGCAACTGCTCAATGTCGAGTCAGTTGTGTGTCCTTGCTGTCGCGCTGTATTGGTCAAGTCAAAGGTCGCTGACCTTTGACCTTCGCGTAACCTCCAAGCGGTTACCCCAACCTCCGAGGGTTGACTCGCGATGCTTCGATTTGGACCGCTTCGCTAGTGTCCTGAGTTTCGGACACGACAGAGGCGCTTTAAGACTTATTGTTCCCAACACTCCCCTTCGCTTCTGGAGTGTCGCTGATGGTGACGTGGCCTTGTCCAGTCAGCAGCATGTAGTACTCGAACTTCTGTTTTCCGAGTTTCTTTGTCAAATAATCGGCTGCCATCTCGGACGTGGGACAGTAGGATAACTCGAGTCTTCCTTTCTCGATCTCGTCTTTTACGAAGAAGTATCGCAGAGCGATATGCTTCGTTCTGTTCGCGAATCCGTTTTTGTTGGCGATGCGAATTGCAGATTGGTTGTCGCAGTGCAGGGTGAAGCTGGGTAACTCAGCTAACTTTGCTTCTTCCAGCAGTTCGCGAAGGTAGAGTCCTTCCTTGGTGGCTGAGCAGAGGGCGATATATTCTGCTTCAGCTGAAGAGAGAGCGATTAGTTCCTGCTTACTCGACTGCCAGGAGATAGGTCCGATAGGCTCGAGACGATAGACGTAGCCGGTACGAGAACGCCTGTTATCAGAATCGCCGGCATGGTCAGCATCGACGTAGCCGATTAGTTTCGTCGTCGTAGCTTCGCCCTTGTGGTAAGTTAGGCCGATTGTCGGTGTGCTCACGAAGTAGTGCAATGCGCGATCGAGCTCCGCCATGTGCTCAGCTTCGGGTTTCTTGAGATAGGTGGCGAGTTGACTCGCGGAGTAGGATAGATCCGGGCGACAGGTTACGGCTGCGAAGAGGAGGCAGCCTAGTTTCCTCTGGTAGTCTCGTATTCCGGCGGTTTTTAGTAGGATGGAGTTTCCTTGGCCGTTTCCTGCCGTGTAGCGGTATGGCGTGGCGATAGCGGTAGGGGTGAGCGAGAAGCGCTTGGCGATCGTGTCGGCGTATTTCTCGGCACTTAGATAGATTGCGTTTTCTTCTTCGCGGATGTTGAGTCCAAGGTACTGCGTGACGGTAGAAGAAACCGTGAGCGTGAGATCTTTCTGCAGTTCCCCTTCGAACCAGGTGGTGACGTCGTCGGTGGAGCCGATGTAGAGGAGATCGTCGACGTAGACGATGAGTAGGATGTAGTTGGCACCTTTAGTGAGTCGGTACATGCCCTGGTCATGGGGCAGTTGGCGGAATCCGATGCGGATGAGGCGGGTGTGCAGGTGCTGTTGCCACAGCCGTGGGGCCTGCTTGATTCCGTAGAGGGACTTTAGCAGTTGGCAGACTTGATTGGGTTCCCCGTGGGTACCGTGAGGGAGCTCAACGAAGATGTCGGCGTCGACAGGTGCGTAGAGGAAGGCATTGGCGACATCAATCTGTCGCAGCTTCTTCTTCATGGCGGCGACGGCGAGAAGAATGCGGAGAGAGGTATGTCGACTAACTGGGGCGAAGGTCTCGGTGAAGTCTCGTCCTTGTTCCTGGTCGAATCCACGCACGACCCAGCGTGCTTTGAACTTCTCGATTGTGCCGTCAGCTTTCGTCTTGATGCGGAAGACCCATTTCCCGGTGAGAATGGTCTTGTTCCGTGCCACGCTTGCGGGAACGACCTTCCAGGTGTTGCGTTCCTCTAGTGCTTTTAATTCTCTGTCCATGGCTTCACGCCATTTTTCCCTGTGTTCCCCCCTAAGAACCTGCTGAACTGTCGCAGGCTCTTTAGGAAGAGTGTTGCCGGCGGTCCCGTGGACTGCGGTGACGAGGCCAAGGATTTGTAGCCCAGTCTGTGAGTATCGAGGGAGTTCTGGATCCTCGGGATAAGCTGCTTCGTCTCCCGCTTCTGGGTCGGGGATGAAATTTGGCCCTATCCTTTCTGCTTTGTTGGTGTTGACTGTCGCAGGTGTTACGTAACCGTTGTCGGCGAAGTGGTAGAAGACTTCGGCGTTGTTACTGTCGCGAGGATTATCTTCATCCATGGGCACATCGACGGAGCAGTACGGGAGAGGTCCGGCTTCCTCCGATGCGTTGTCGACGTTCTGTTCATCCCAGTCTGCTTCGTCCGCTGCTGAGGCGAAGGCTCGGTCACCACGAAAGCCACCTGTGGGGTCCCGATTCTCGTGCAAGTTGGCGAGGTACGTCTGAAGGGTGAGTCGTTCGTAGAAGATCACATCACGTGCTGCTACTGTTTCTTTTGTGTGGACGTCGAAGATTCTCCACGCGTTGTAATTTTTCTCGATGCCGAGGTGTAGTCCCCACTGTGCCCGTTGCGAAAATCTTCCCGCTCGTGCTTCTGGGGGTCGGTACTGTACCATGCACCCAAATACTCGTAACATTTTTGTGCTGCCCTGCTTTCCTGTCCACAGCAGATTCGGTGATGCGTTGTTCGGGAGTGACGACGACGAAAGCAAGTTGTGCAGCATGACAGCATGGTCCATTGCTGCTGGCCACTGGTGGTTGGGTAGCCGCATGCCACGTAGTAGTTTGCGCATGCTGTTCTGCAGGGTCCTGTTCATTCTTTCTGCAACACCCTGCTGCTGATGTGCGTAGGGAAGGGAGAGGAGTTGCTTGATCCCCCTTTCCGCCAGGTACTGCTTGAAGCGCTGAGAGGTGTATTCGCCACCTCCGTCTGACTGGAAGCTTTTCAGCTGCGTTCCTGATTCCCTTTCTGCTACTGGTAGCCAAGCGGCGAATGCTGCGAGTGCCATGTCGCGGCTGGGTAGGTTGCGATGCCAGACGTATCGAGTGGCGGCGTCGATGAAGGTAATCGTGTAATTATAGGTTACTTGGCCTGGTTCTCGATTGTAGAGGATGTCGCTGTAGACTTTTTCGAGTGGTGCGTATGCAGGTGCGCTCGGGTTGTGGTGAGAAGAAAAGGGTCGATGTGGTAAGTCGGCCTCGGGGCAAATGAGGCAAGTCCCCGGTGCACGTTGAAGTTCTCTGCCGTCGAGTAGTAGTAGCGAGTCTTTATCTAGCACTCCTGCTCGTATCGTATTATTTAACACCGTGTTACTTGGATGTCCTGTGCGTGCGTGCCAGATGTCTTCGGAGGCGCGGTGTCCGGGTGAACGTTGATATGCGTCAGAGTTGGAGTAGAGGCTGGCGACGAAGTTGGCGCTGCGGTGGACTTCTCGTTGAGTCGGGTTCAGCTGTTGTGCTGGTGTTGGTGGTGTTTCGTCGACGATGACTGGTGTCGTTGTTCCTGCTGCTGCCGATGTTGTTGCTGCTGCCGATGTTGTCTTTGCTGCTGCCGATGTTGTCTCTGCTGCTGTCGATTTTGTATCTACTGCTGCCGATGTTGTCTCTGCTGCTGCCGATGTTGTCTCTGCTGCTGTCGATTGTTGAATTGTTGCTAATGCTCGTGTTCGCTCTTCTTCAGGGATGGTGTGTGAGTACCAGAAGCCTCCTGGACTGAAATCAGGATCGAAGTCCGGAGGGTGTGTCCAGTCGGTAAAGTTGACGATGGCGTCGCTGTCTGCAGTGCCCAGGTCGGGGACGAAGTCAAGAACGAAGACGTTATTCTTCAACACTGCTTTCCCGATGTAGAGGCCGCCCCTCCCGTGGTATAACTTAAATTCCTGGGTGGTGCTGTCGGCTTCCAAGTGAATCCCCTTCGCCATCAGCTGGCTAACACTCAGTAAGTTGTAACCGAGTCCTTCTGCGATGAGTACTTTTGACATGTGTAGTATAACGTTGGTCTCTCTTGATTGAAGCTGAACGACTCCTTGTCGTCTTGTGCGCAGGTTCTGGTTGTTGGCGACTGTTATGACTACTTCTCGCTGGAGTCGATGTTCGCGTTGTACGAAGCGCCCGGAGGAGCACATGTGTTGTCCGCAGCAACTATCCAAGAACCAAGTGTCTTGGCCGGACGGTTCGCTTTGAGCGATGGCGGCGTACGTCGGATTCGGCTGGAGTGATTCGCGGCGAGGCGTCCTGTTGTCGAGCTCCTCTTCTGGTGGGTAGTAGGGTGGCGACTTTGTAATGCAGGAAACGTTTATCTTTACCATGCAGTTGACGATGCTTCTTGCTCCTTGTGCAGGTTGTCCAGTTGAAGTCGTTGAAGCTTGGATCGTGGTTGTCGGACTTGCTTGCGTTGAAGCAACTTGGGAGCTTGAAGGCCGCAGTTGTCGCTGTGGTGTCGTCTGACGAGACGGGCAATGCGTGCGAGGATGGCCCGAGGTTTTGCAGATGTGGCAGAACGGAGGTACCGTTTTCACTTGCTGTTGTCGATTGTTGTTGCCGTTGTGTCGTCGCTGAGTGTGAAAAGCAAATTCTGGTGCTAAAGCTTTCTTCTTGTGTCTTTCTTCTTGCAGGTCCATGTCCTGCTGCTCAGCATGAATTTCGGCGCAGAGTGCTGCTTCGGAGATCCTCCCGTGTGCTCGTAATATGGCGCGAGTGGAGCGCCAGTGGGGGCCGAGACCGCCGATGACCACCGTGACAAAGGCGTCTTCTGAAATTGACCCGCCGCATCGAAGAAGCTTGTCGCGCAGTTCGCGGCAGCGGCTGATATAAGCCATGCATTTCTCGCCTGGTTTCATTTCAATCGTTGTCAACTGCGCCATTAACCTGCTTTGGTTTACGCTGTCTGTTGCTTGATACAGGTTCTTCAGGTGGTTGTACGCGAGCTCCGCGGAGTTGCCGTAGCCTCGGTAAGTCCTGATGTTCTGCTGCTGGGTTGGGGTGATGTTCCTCAGCAGAATCGTGTACGCCATCATCGATTGATATGTATACTGCTGCTTCTCATATTGTGTCCCGTTTGTCGGATATGGCAGGGACCCGTCGAAGAAGCCAAGGATCTGTGCTCCTTCCATCATCAGTTCAAACTCGAACGACCAGGTAAAGAAATCTTTGCCGTCGAAAGGCTTTGTCGTTTGTAGTTTTAGGACGTGCGCGAATTGCGATTGGACTTGTAACGCGTCCAATGTCCTTTCTTGTCCCGATGCAGGTTGCGGTTGCGGCATGAAGCTGACGGAGCCACGTTGGGGCTCGTACGGCGCAAAGGTAGGCTGCTGTTGTTGTTGTTGCATCCCGCGTGCATAGGATGAGCCGTCGAGGCTCATCGGAGTAACATTGTTGTTGTTGTTGCTGTTGTTTGACTACGCAGGCACTCCTTGCTGGTGTTGCTCGTAGAAGGACATGAAGGAGAAAAATTTCTCCATCATGTTTGAATCGAAGCCTGTTGGTGTTTCCGTGGACCCAGCTGCTGGTCTTGCGGTAGTGCCTTCCTCTGTCTGTAGGCCAGAGGCAGGAGGTGGAGTAGGAGTAGTGCCTGGGGAGCCGTTGGAGGAGCTCCTCTCCTTCCTTGCAAACATGTCTTCTTTCTTTGTATTTAAGTATTGAGAGAGAAAATGATCTTAAACTCTAACTGCTCTCATACCATGTTGGGCTGAGAAGCCCTAGGATCTTTGTAGAGTTTAAGGACTGAGTAGGATTGAACAGCGGAAGCGTTGTAATACAGAGTGGTTGAACCACCTTGCACTAGTATGTGAGAGCAAAGTAAGTTAGATTAAACAAGCAAATACAAGGTTTATATAAGAGTACAAGGAATACGAATCGATAGATTTAAACCGTTTTACTGTTGCGATTCGATACAGTGCGACTCGGGCAACTACTCAATGTCGAGTCAGTTGTGTGTCCTTGCTGTCGCGCTGTATTGGTCAAGTCAAAGGTCGCTGACCTTTGACCTTCGCGTAACCTCCAGGCGGTTACCCCAACCTCCGAGGGTTGACTCGCGATGCTTCGATTTGGACCGCTTCGCTAGTGTCCTGAGTTTCGGACACGACAGAGGCGCTTTAAGACTTATTGTTCCCAACAAACACAACCCCTCCAGCGAATGAAGCCTTGGCCTTCGCAGCCATCACTCGCATGCCGATGCGCTCCAGGTTCTCATGCAGCTGCAAGCTTGGAAGAGCTTTGGTGAGCATGTCGGCCAGGCCCCACGTTTTCCGAGTAAATTACTCTGTTTCTCTGAAAATCAGAGTCATTTTTGAAAGGAACCCTGTACCTGCTGGGTTTTGCTTTTAAAAGTTTAGATTTAGAAAGCTTGCTTTCTTGCGTTTGCAATGGCAACGAGCTTCGTTTCATGGGTAACGAGCTTCGTTTCAAATGGGCATTACAACATTCTCGTCCTATTTAGATATGGTACATACATTACAAGTTCCAACATGCAATTTTTGCTAGGGTGGGTGGGTGGGAAATAAGACATTTGAAATTTCAAACGAAGACGTGGGTGGAGGCCAAATGGCCTCCACCCCCTGCTATATAGTTGGCGAAGAGCGTAGAGCACTTCGCCGTTGCCATTGCTGCATTACAAGCAGCGTCGCTTTCGAAATATACATTTTTAGAAAGTGTTACACACTTTCAAAAAACTTCATATTTAGAAAGCTTGCTTTCTTGCGTTTGCAATGGCAACGAGCTTCGTTTCATGGGTCTTCTGAGACATGAGACGCGGTCATTCTAACGAGATGGTAAAGGTTGTTTGTGGCTTATGCGATGACATGTCGGTGGAGGTCCAATCACGCACGAAGGAGAGGCTGGCACCGATGTTGATGGTGATGTTGTATTCCCTGCTGTTGCCTTGGATCAAGTGTTGCCCCGAGTGTAGCACAGTAATGTTGATTTATGAGAGTCGGCTGACATGTGAGCTTCGGACACAAACTCGCAAGCAGTATAGGAGGACTCTGGTAACGGGCATTGGTGTTTTGTGTGATGATGGATGTGATGCTTGTAGGAGCCCAACCCTTGTAGCAGTCACAACCGTGCTCGCATTACGAAGAGTGCATGCATCTGTATCCGGATACTGTAAATCTGCCGGCGTTTGAGCCCTTTGTATGTGTGTGCTTTTTTTTTTTTTTTTTTTGGATCTGCTAGACTTGAGCACCATTTCAAACTCACCACAACATTGTTCAATCAACCAACTCGAGTGTGACCACATCCGGACCGTGCAATTGAAGGCTTTCAAAGCCTAAGGTGTGTGAGAAGTGTAACTAAATTGCACAACCATGAATATACCCTACAAATGGCCCACAAGCCAAAAAGGGACCCACCGGTCCTCCTCCCCCCTGGGGAGCTCGCTGGCCAGCACCGCACAGGGCCCACCGGTCCTCCTCCCCCCTGGGGAGCTCGCTGGCCAGCAACACACAGGATCCACCGGTCCTCCTCCCCCCTGGGGAGCTCGCTGGCCAGCACCGCACAGGACCCACCGGTCCTCCTCCCCCCTGGGGAGCTCGCTGGCCAGCACCGCACAAGACCCACCGGTCCTCCTCCCCACTGGGGATCTCGCTGGCCAGCACCGCACAGGACCCACCGGTCCTCCTCCCCCGGTGGGTCCTCCTCCCCCCTGGGGAGCTCGCTGGCCAGCACCGCACAGGACCCACCGGTCCTCCTCCCCCCTGGGGAACTCGCTGGCCAGCACCGCACAGGACCCACCGGTCCTCCTCCCCCCTGGGGAGCTCGCTGGCCAGCACCGCACAGGACCCACCGGTCCTCCTCCCCCCTGGGGAGCTCGCTGGCCAGCACCGCACAGGACCCACCGGTCCTCCTCCCCCCTGGGGAGCTCGCTGGCCAGCACCGCACAGGACCCACCGGTCCTCCTCCCCACTGGGGATCTCGCTGGCCAGCACCGCATAGGACCCACAGGTCCTCCTCCCCCCTGGGGAGCTCGCTGGCCAGCACCGCACAGGACCCACCGGTCCTCCTCCCCCCCGGGGAGCTCGCTGGCCAGCACCGCACAGGACCCACCGGTCTTTCTCCCCCCTGGGGAGCTCGCTGGCCAGCACCGCACAGGACCCACCGGTCCTCCTCCCCCCTGGGGAGCTCGCTGGCCAGCACCGCACAGGACCCACCGGTCCTCCTCCCCCCTGGGGAGCTCGCTGGCCAGCACCGCACAGGACCCACCGGTCCTCCTCCCCCCTGGGGAGCTCGCTGGCCAGCACCGCACGGGAGCGCATGGGGTTGTGCCAATTGTTTGCCGCAGTCTTTCTTCGCCGATGGTCTCTCATGGCGACCCAAAGCTATGGTAGTTGCCTCGCACCGATTTACTGCGATCAGAGGTAATAAATAACACGAGAGAAAAACGAAGACAAACAAAAATCGGAGATACGTACGAAGAAAAGGTGGAAACATATGCAAGGTAATAAGTTATCCGCTGACAATGTCAGCAGCAGGAGAGCATATGTCATGCCAGTTTGTCTCTGGAGATTTCACCAACCTGCTGGTGCCGACTGCCGCTGGACGAGCCCCTGGTTATTGCACGCCACTGGCGATGTCGTAGCCACGTGCGCCAGTGGCGATTTTGACCATTTCGGCACCATGAGCGCCACTGGCGCCACTTGCTCCGCTGGCGATTTTTACGCCACGTGCGCCACTGGCGATTTCGCCACGCGCGCCTGTGGCGTTTTCGTCGCCACGCGCGCCTGTGGCGTTTTCGTCGCCACACGCGCCTGTGGTGATTTCGTCGCCACGAGCACCTGTGGCGATTGCTTCGCCACGCGCGCCTGTGGCGGTTTCGTCGCCACGCGCGCCTGTGGCGATTTCGTCGCCACGCGCGCTTGTGGCGATTTCGTCGCCACGTGCGCCAGTGGCGTTGTCGCTTTATTAGCCCCAACAAGCGCGCCTATTGTGCGGACGGGTGCCTATTTCTGAAACACGTTGTGCCATGTCAATTGAGTTGATGCCTACTATTTTATGAGAGAAGTGAGAAACTGAGGAAAACGGGAAGCGCCAAGTCGTCGGACGAGAATGAAATAAGACATTTGAAATTTCAAACGAAGACGTGGGTGGAGGCCAAATGGCCTCCACCCCCTGCTATATAGTTGGCGAAGAGCGTAGAGCACTTCGCCGTTGCCATTGCTGCATTACAAGCAGCGTCGCTTTCGAAATATACATTTTTTGAAAGTGTTACACACTTTCAAAAAACTTCATTTTTCTCTGATTTATCAGAGTTTTCTTGTAGGCTACTCTGAGCTCTCTGGGTTTTTATTCTAAGGACCGAGTTTACTCTGTACAGAGGATACATACATGCCCCCTAGCCACCCCCCCCACCCCCCCCCCCCTCTCCCGAATATCGGGTTTTCCCCAAGTCGCCGAGAACACCATCCAGATTTCGTTCGAGTGTTGGCGCCAAGGCCTGCTAGTGCTCGGCTGGCTCACAGTTTCTCCACCCATTTCCCCAATCCATCAGGTGCCTTGCGTACCCCAACATCACAGCCACGCGTCTCCCCACTCTGTTCCGCACCCTGTTCAATGCAGACAACGTTGACGCTGCTGCGCCTGAACCTGATCCCGGCCCGTCATGCAGCTCTCGCCCTATGACGGGTCTGGAGTTTCTGAAAGGCGTAACAAATTAGCCATACAGATCATACACCTTAGTAAACTAACATCAGAGTAAAGCAAAATATTACTCTGACGTGCCTGAGTTTTTTTCCCAAAACATAGGGTTACTCTGACAACTCAGAGTGAGGCGTAAGAACAACCCTAGATTTCAGAGTTGGCAAAAAAACCACTCTGGAATTCAGAGTACCTAAAATCCAAAAGTAGGCCCTGATGTCGGCATCCTGGAGGTGGGAACGTACTGAGTGCACCTCGACCTCCTGCTGGCGCACCGCATCCTGTACAAAGTGCCATGCCACCTTAATGTGCTTGGTGTGCTGATGGAGAACGGGATTGTGGGCAAGGGAGACAGCAGCCTCATTACCACAGAGCAATGGAATAGCCCCCCCATCCCCCACATGCATCTCTGCCAACAAACTCCTCAACCAAATGGCCTCCTTGGCCCCCTCCGATAGAGCTTTGTACTCAGCTTTAGAAACGCTTGCTGCGACACTGTCTTGTTTTTTGCTATACCAGCTGATTGCTCCTCCTCCCACATTAAAGATGTAGGCAGAGCGACTCTTGCCATCAGTCTCACCACCCCAATCCGAGTCTGTGTACCCAACAACCTGCTCACCACCTTGGCGCTCATACCTGATGACATGATCAGCTGTGTCAACCAAGTACCCGAGTGCTCTCAGTGCAGCGCGCATGTGAATGCGTCTTGGTGCCACGCAGGACTGTGCAAGGGTGTTGACAGTGAAAGACATTTCAGGACGGGTGGTCACAGCAGCATACATCAAGCTGCCAATGAGACTCTGGTACACCTTGACATCAGCTGCAACACCTTCCTTGGGCGACCAAGTACCATTTCTGATCTTAGAGAGATCATTGGGTGATATTGGAGTATGCACCCTATGGGTCTCCTTCAGCAGATCAACAAACCTTCCCTGGAGACCACGGACATACTTCTCCTGACCAATCTCCAACCACCCATCCTTGGCTGACCTGCGAACCTCCACACCAAGGTACGTGGATACCTCACCTAGATCCTTCATCTGGTACCTCTGAGCAAGCACCTCCTTGACCTGACCGATCAGCTCCAAGCGTCAAGACACAAGCAAGATGTCATCCACATACACCAATACATACACAGGCTCTTCATCCACAAACTTGATGTACAGAGCCTCATCACATGCACTGCAGTCAAACCCTGCTGCAATCAGGGAGGTACCAATCTCCTCATTCCAAGTACGAGGCGCTTGCTTCAGCCCATAGAGAGCTTTGCGCAAGCGATACACCCTACCTGTACCATCATCAAATCCCTCAGGTTGCCTCACATACACCTCCTCTTGAAGGACTGCATTGAGGTAAGCATGATCAACATCCTCCTGTTGTACATGCCACCCTTTTACCGCGGCTTCTGCAAGAAGCACCCGACCTGAGGTGAGCTTGCCCACAGGGACAAATATCTGATCATAGTCCTTCTCAGGCTCCTGAGTGTACCCCTTAGCAACAAGGCGAACCTTGTGCTGTACCACCTTATCCTCCTTGTAAGTTTTCCTGCGGAAAACGTACCTGACCCCAATGGCCTTCTTACTTGGAGGTAAGTCGACCGGCTCTGGATCCCATACACCCATAGTGCGCATTGCATTTACCTCCTTATAAGTGCCTGCCTTCCACGCAGGGCCCTCAGGGCCACGCAAGGCCTCAGCGAGTGTGCGTGGGACATCACCGGTGCTCACACCTGCCAGTGCAACACCTTCCACCTCCCTGGCCAAACACAGCATGCCCTCAACCACACCAGCATCCCCCCCTACCTCCTCACCACCTGTACCAGACTGGATACCAAGCACCTGCAAACCCGTAACCTTTGGAGGGGAGGTAGTCGCCGTCGACAGAGGGGCACCCGTAGAGAGAGGGACAGAGCGCTGACCAGAGGAGGAGGAAGAGGAAGTAGCATGTGTAGCGGATCTCCGTTGAATGACTGAGGAGCCGCTGAGCTGCTGCAGAGGGGTGGGCAGCTGCTACACCGACACACTCAGCGGTGCCGGTGGCAGTGATGAAGGTGGCATCTCAACGTCGTCAGCCGTTGCGGAGGGTGGCGAGAGTGGAAGAGGGAGGAGTTGGGAAATTGCAGCTGCATCGTGCAGAAGCTCCCCAAATCCCTTTGCCTTGTCCCAATCCTTCCACATCACATTCTCAAGAAAATCAACATCCCGAGCAATGCGAATGCGCATGAGAGAAGGGTCCAGCATGCGCCAACCCTTGCTCTCTATGTCCACCCCAACACAGACACACATGACAGCCCGTGCATCAAGCTTACCACCCTTCTCATGCCCATGCAGCATGACACTCCCCATGCAACTCCAAATCCGAGCCATGCCCACTTGCGGCTTCTAGCCAGACCACGCCTCCATTGGTGTAATGGAGGCAGGCAAAGCACTGTGGGTGACCCTGTTCTTAACCCACACGACCCACATCAATGCTTCACCCCACAAGCGAGTAGGGAGACCACTGTCGACCAACAATGTGCGAATCCCCTCTGCCATCGTCCTGTGCCACCTCTCCACGACCCCATTCTGTTGTGGTGTATCTGCGACGCTCAATTGAGTTTTAATGCCAAACTCCGCCTTCTATGCCTTTACAGCTTCTCCCAAGAACTCGCCACCCCTGTCCGAGCGAACAGCGTTCAGCTTCCACCCACACTCCAACTCCACGTCCTTATGCCACTGGCGAAGGACTTTTGCAACTGTGGCTGATTCCTTGTTGGGGAGGGGGAACAACCAAACTTGTCTGGTGAAGTCGTCAATGAGACTGAGGACATACACCGCTCCTCCCAGTGAGGGTGTGCACACTGGCCCCCACAAATCCATGTGGACCTCATCCAAAGGCCCAAGTGCCCGAGACGCCTCGTGGGGAAACGGCTTCCGAGCCGACTTTCCCAATAAGCAAGGCTCACATGGGGAGCAATCACTGCTCCCCCCCCCAATCTCCAAGCCCTGTACACTGTTCCCCCGAGCCATCTGTTGCAATGTTGTGGGGGCGGTATGACCAAGGCGGCGATGGGCAAGGGTCAATGGGGAAAATGAGGAGGAGGACCCAGCTGCAAGAGCACTGCCTTGTGTGCCCCGAGCAAGAGGAAGAAACATCCGCACCAATCCATGGTCCCTTCCCCTCTCCTTTTCTCCAATCGCCAACACCCGCTCCCCTCGTTGAAGGACACATTTCTTGCCCTTGAATATGACAATGACATCTCGAGAGGTGAGGTGTGGGACTGACAGCAGACGCGTGTGCATCTTAGGCACAAGGTGGACCTTTTGAATCCTCAGCAGCTGACCTCCAGCACCAACCACTGGCACCTCACCCATGCCAACAGCTTTCACCACCCGTCCATCTCCCAATCTAACTCCCCGAACCTCTTGTCGCTGAAGCTTACTTTTGAAGTCTGATGCATAAGGAGTAAAGTTGTGGCTGGCCCCACTGTCAATCCACCACCCCTCTCGCGGCTGCTCCTCTCCCACTGCTGCAACTGCCTCTCCAACCACTGCCTCTGCCTTGTCATCCTGCTCCTCCTCATCCGCCAACTGTGCCTTGCCGTTGGACCCACGACCCCCCCGCATTAAGAATGTCGGAATGTCTCCATTAGGTCGATAATGACATCGCTGCCATGCATGTCCCTCATCCCAACAGCCATGATACAACCCCCGAGGAGCCATGCCCTTGGACCCCCAAGGGAAATCAAGCACTCCCACTTTGCCTTTCCCTTGACCCCATCTGCCCGAGTTGGTGTCACTGCTGCTACGGCTGTCTCCATGCTTTCCTCCCTTGTCCCAATTTCCCCTGCTGCTGCTGCCCACTTTCGTACCTGCTCCAAAGGTGTCTACACCATCCGATCTTAGTGCGACACCAATCCGCATCTCCTCGCTCCTCAAGGAGGTAAGCAGCTGATCCTTAGTGAGTGATGATAACTGGTTGTTCAGCACCACCTTCAGCATCTCAAAGTGAGGAGGTAGTCCTTTGAGTACCCTCATCATCCACTCCTCAACCTCCTCCTTCCCTCCTGTAGCCAAGTACTTGGACCTCAAGTCCTCGGCACGCGCCCAGTATGCAGCCACTCCCTCTCGCTCTTTCATCTTCAATGAGGAGAGCTCCTCAGAGAGTGCCATCCGATTATACAATCCACGCTGAAGGTAGAACTCCTTAACTCGTGTATATGCCGCTGCTGTGCCTGCAGGAACCCGGGTGACTCTCTTGCTGCGCCATCAACAAGTGCGCTGCCCAACTCGGTCTTGCCGGTGAACTCCCGTACTGAGCGAATCACCTCATTTGGCACTAAGGCATTGCAAAATTGGGCGAATGCCTTCTGATTTTTCCTCTCCCACTTCAGCCGTGCATCACCCGTTGCAGGTCGCTCCTCCGAGCCGTCAAAGTACCCCCATAGATCGTGCGCCTCTGCCCATTATTCGAATCGGAAGCTCCAAGTCCAATAGTCGCTCCCATCAAACTTTGGCGCACTCTCCAGCTTCCCTTCGCCTGAGTCGTGATCCATTTGTGGCGCAGGCACTGAATATTGACGTTGAGGTGGCGGTGGAGGCAACGGCGGTGGCGGTGAAGACGATGCGGGCAGATTCACCCCCTCTTGGTTTTTTTAGCGTAACTCCGCGCTCGAACCACCGAATGCTGAGCCATTAGATTCTGATGAATCCTTGCTTTGAGCCCGTTCCAATGATGTATCGCGCTCTGAGATCCCACGTCCGAGCTGTCCGCTTAAACTCGTCGAAGTTGGCCGAGTTTCCGTCGATGAATACTCAACAGTTTCGCCCGATTTTTGGCTTGTTGGATGTGCCCTGGTGTCCTCTCTTGGCGCTTGCCTTACAATTTCTTTTCCGCGCTTTAAATCGTCACCGATTTGAAATTTTCCAATTCGACCGCGGGCAGTTTTTCGCGAATTGCGTCCCATCTGCTCGTCGATTGGTAACGACTCCGGGGCAATTGTTGTAGACCGTGCTAAGACCTTTCCAACGGTGTGCTGCACGTTTTGATCGGCCAAATTTGACTGAGCGCATGTGTGAATCGATGTCGCTCTTCTCGTCCTCCCGAACGGATCCTCACGATTTCCAACAGTTTTCTTCGTTCCTCCTCCCTTCCCACGTCCAGAGTCCGCCACGGTGCAATTTCGGCAGCCCTTTCGGGAGGGATGGAAACTAAATAGCTTCCACCAAGATATTATGGTCCGATGTCTTGAGTAACCCCTATTCCAACAGACTGCTAGGCCTTCCTAGCTCTGATACCATATTAGAAAGGACTAAGCTACTAGCGGAAGCTTTAGTAGTCTTAGAACCTCCTCCTAAAGCCTAAGAATCTTGGGAGCTCACTTGGGCATGAACCATGCTAGAACCAAAGTGGTTTGCAAGAAATGAAGTTCCAACAAGAGAGAACCCTAACCTATAGGGTTTGGGAGGTGGTCCACTCTATAGAGTGTACCCCACAAGTTCTCCAAACCCAACCAATGTATTCAACATTACTATAGTGTAGATGTATCACTACATATGTTTATTGGAGCAACCCAAATTAACCTTCATTCCAACACTGAATTACAAGCACATTCTAGAAACGGTGCACACAATGTATTTAATAATTTGGCGGACCGCGTTTGGCTTGGCGCTAATGTAAGTTTTGCCGCGCGTCACAATTCTGTGCTTAATGCTGCACCTTGCTCCAAAAAAGTGGTGGTTTTTTTTTTTTTTTTTTTTTTTTTTTTTTTTTTTTTTTTTTTTTTTGTAACGGTGGCCAGCCTTCCGTAACCATTCCTACTGCAACCAGCCTCATCTGTAGCGCTCACACTTGTAACTAGGGCATTTTGCCACCATATTCCTTTGACTTCCGCATTTATCAGAAGATTTGGTATTTTTTTGGGATTTGGGTGTATATCTCACACCAATGTGAACGTAAACCTTGTATGACATAATCGCCGGTGAGTATAAGAAGGTGTAAAGTTGCCCAAGTGACTGGGTGTTGCTCTGGCACCTGCGTCCCAACCCAACCGTCCTTCCTCACTAAACCGCTGCCGTGTCACTTTCAGCTAGCTTCATCGGTCCAGGGGCGGCTCGTTACTGGAATCTCAACCGCCTCCCAGCTGAGCTGGCTTCGTTTGTCGCGAGGCGGCTCGTCACTGGAATTAATGCCGCGTCATTGTCAGCTGGCTTCGTCTGTCCCGAGGCGGCTCGTGACAAGGTCAGAAATGTGTGTGCACAATTCACACAAAACTTCTAACGCCACACCTCTTCCCCTTTTGCTCTGCGTTAACACCTGGCTACGTGTCGTCATGTTTCAATGGGAACGTGATTGTGAGAATAAGCGAACAGGGATGAATGAACTAGCAGTGAAATGAGTACAAGTAGGAAACCCTAGAATTGTGTACCCCCTATAGGCTAACCCACTGTAGCCTACACAAGCAGAACATATATAATGTTTGACACACCCCCATAGGCAAAGTGGGGGAGAACAAGGGGTCACAAGACCAGTCAAGCAAAGCAAAGCAAGCTAAGGGTGGATCACAAAGTCACCACACAGTCCGAGCACAAGAGCAGGGCCAGAGGCCAGTTCACATGCAGGAGTACAGACATATATATAAAACTAGACAAGCAAGAGCAGGTATATATATATGTCACAGTACAAGTGAACTCAAGAGGAGAGCAAGTGAGGCAAGACAGGCACAAGACCCAGCTGGGTGCAAAAGCGCTGATGGTCACAAGGCGCGAGTGCCTTGGTGAACACATCAGCAGTGTTGGCCTCAGAGGCCACGTACGCAAGTCCCAACTGACCACGCTGCTGCAGCTCACGAGCAAGGAAGTAGCGGAGAGCAATGTGCTTCGTTCTGTGCTCCAAGCGCTGCTCTCGACACAAGGCCAGCATGGCCTTGTTGTCTACGTACAGCACTGGAGGAGAACGAGGTGGCTCTCCAAGGTCAGTCAGCAGGTAGGTGAGCCAGCGAAGCTCCTGTGCAGCCATGGCCCCGGCGTAGATCTCAGCCTCACAACTGGAGCCGAGAACCGAAGACGAGCGAGTAGACCGCCACGAGACAGAGCCGGAACCAAGGCTGAAGGTGTAACCCTGTGACGACCGCTGCGTAGCCTGGTCGTCAGCCCAAGAAGCGTCCGCGTGGCCGGTAAGGACCACTGGACTCCGCCCTCCAAGCACTAGCCCCATGCCCGACGTACTGCACAGGTAGCGCAATACCCTCTTCGCTGCAGCCATGTGCTCTGGTCTGTGTCTCCCAGGAGCAACATAGCGTGCAAGAATGCTCAGAGGGTATGCAAGGTCAGGTCGTGTGCAGGTCATCAGGTACATGAGGCAGCCAACAAGCTCTGCATACGGACCA